ACGAGTATAGTATAGTAGTAATAGTAGTAGTAGTAGTAGTAGTAGTAGTACTAGTAGTATAGTAGTAGTAGTAGAAGTAGTAGTAGTAGTAGTAGTAGTAGTAGTACTAGTACTAGTACTAGTACTAGTCTAGTACTAGTAGTACTAGTAGTAGTAGGAGTAGGGGCAGGAGCAGGAGCAGGAGCAAGAAACAGCAGCATCAGTAAGAGCAGTAACAGTTCTGGTCGTCGTCGCTGTCCGAAACAACAAGCCCCAGAATTTACACCGGCCTAAACCCTAGGCCCTAAACCCTACAGACAGAACTGATCAGAGAAGCCGAGGCGGTGGCAACAAAGCACAGCCCACATGCCGAGGCCTTCAAGAAAACGACCTGGGTCTGAGGACAGCGCTCGAGGTCTTTGAGGCGTTAAGCGTCTTGTTTAGGCCGGGGGCCTTTAAAAGGTAAACCCTAAACCCGGAACCCTGAACCCTAAACCCTAAACCTCTCTTTCACATGATCATTCCTAATGAATTCGCCGGCCTTGGCCTATACCTCGGCCAAATAGTCGCTGGCCTTGGCCAATTATTCGCCGGCCTTGGCCAATTATTCGCCGGCATTGGCCAATGTAAAACTACTAGTCCGAACCCTAAAATAATAGTCCGAAATTGAAACAATAGCCCAAATACTAACATGTAGCCCGAACCCTCAAGTAATCGTCCGAATCCTCAAGTAGTAGTCCGAACCCTACAAGAATAGCCCGAATCCTAAAACACTACCTGAAATAACAATCCGAACCCTAAATAATAGTCCAAATCCTCAAAAAATTACACGAACCCTAAAATAGTAGTCCGAATCCTTAACTTGTAGTCCGAACCTAAAGTAAGACTCCGAGCCCTAAAATAGTAGCCCGAATCCTAAAATAGCGGTTCGAACCCTGGTCCGAACCCCAAAATAATAGTCCGATCCCTAAGATACTAGCCCGAGCCGTAAAACACTAGCCAGAACCCTAAAACAATAGTCCGAACACGAAAATAGTAGTCCGAATCCAAAAATAGTAGTCCGAATCCCAAAATAGTAGTCCGAATCCCAAAATCTTAGTCCGAGCGCTGACATAATAGTCCGAAACCTAGAATAGTAGCCCGAACCCTACAGTAGTAGTCCGAAAACTAAAATAACAGCGTGAACTGAAAACTAGTACTCCTAACATTGACAGGTCATGGTTGAATAGAAGCTGTTGTGCCGACGTATATGGTTTAAGGAAACTTTGCATGTTCTTCATGTCTTGGGATTCTCTGGGTGGGTGGGTGTTCTCTCACAGCTAATACTCCTCGATCCGGAGCTGCTGAACCCTGAACCCTAAAACTTAAACCCTAAACCCTAAACCCTAAACCCTAAATCCTAAACCCTAAACCCTAAACCCTAAACCCTAAACCCTAAATCCTAAACCCCAAACCCTAGGCGTTTCGGCCCAGGGGTAGTTTGCGGACTCCGCTCCCCCTGTGCCCTAGCCCCAGCGCGGCCATATTCGTTTGGCCCGCGAGCGAGGCCCATAGCTGCGACCGAAAGGCTGCTGTGGTGCCACAACCTCTGAGCTGTACGTTTTCGAGGCTCTGGGTTTTCTACATCCCCGCCTTCGTGGCGGCTGGATTTTTCTGGTTACAACTGAGTCAATCTTGAGGTGATTCCCGCCGTCGCTGCCTCGGCCGACGTGCTGGATCTTCCGCTTGGTTGGTCCCTCACAACTGCGCCTTTTCCGGGGAGTGGCGCCCCGTGCGTATTCTTATATTCTTTTCTGGTATATGTGTCGTTGCTGGGTGATACTTCTTTGCTGGATTGGTATTGCAAGCAAGCACGGCTCGAGGTCCGAGGGACCTGAAGGAGCCCTCCTGGCATCGCAACCAGAGACGCAGAAGGACCAAGGCCCGTACACTGGTCAGAGCAGAGGCTGCTGGGTGGATCTCCATACCGGCTGCCCGTCTGAGGAAGGCGTACCGGCTACTTCGTCTACACCATTCGTTTTCAGCTATGACGTCAAAGCAACCGTGGACGTGCAATTCATGTGGGGGCAGAGTCAAGGCGACCTCCCACTTTTGTGGACAGTGTGGCACCGGTTGGAGCTACACTTCAGGCCACCCGACGCCGCCGTGGCAACCGCAATGGGGCGACGACGGGCGGAGACAGACGGCTTCCCCGAGGAGGAGGCAAGCAGAGGAATGGTCGTACACGGGCCCCAAAGGTGGCAAGCGAGGTATTTCCCCACGCAAGCGCAAAGGCAAGGAGGGAAAGACGAAGTCTGGCAAGGAAGGCAAGGGCACTGGGACATCGGCCCCCTCGGGGGAGCCGCAGCCGACGGTGCCAACGATTCAGTCGCTCCCGAAGCCACCCAGTGCAGCAGCTGTGCCTGCGCCGACGGCCCAGTCTACGACAGCAGCTCCCAGCAGCGGACCAGAGACTACGTTACAGCAGATACTGGTGGCGCTGAACAGAAGCCGGGACGACCTGCCGCCTTCTGTTCGGGAGATTCTGGATGCTCAAATACAAGAAGATTCCAAAGCCCAAGCAAAAAACCTACATCGACTCGTGGCGGCCCAAGGGGCAGCCCGACGACAGCTGGCCGCTACTCGTGCTGCCCGCCAAGACTACGTGCGCGAATGGGCGCAATATGTCACTGGGCTGTGCGACATGTGGCGAAAGCAACAGGAAGAGAAGGGGAAGGCTCTGGAAGCCTTTCTTACAACGGAAGCCCAATGGGAGCAGCAGCTGGCGGAGACGACATCTCTGATTGCCAAAGTGGCTGTGGACCCGGAGGGCGGCGAGCCAATCGACGTGGAGGACGCCGACGAGATGGACGAGGAAGACACCCGCATCTCGGAGCTCGCGCAGACCGAGGTGCAGAGGCAACGCCTTCTGGAGCAGATGCAGGCTGCGGACCAGAAGATCACGGAGACGCTACAAGCAGCTGCAGAGTCAGTCAACCTGGAAGCTGCGGAGCTAGGACGTCCGGACCGAGAGCGGTCACCGAGGCGTCGAGCCACAGAGGCCAAGGGACCCAAGGATGCCAAGGCCGACAAAGGAGACAAGTCTACAGATGCGGGTACTTCGCAGTCGCAGCAGCCCTCGCAGGCTGGCAAGGCAGCGCAGCAACACCCTCAGTAGGCTCCACATTGAGCCTAACGGGAGATGTGGAGCCGATCACTTGGGCACCTTCCGTGCCAGAGATTATCTATGGACATACCATCCGGAATGAATGGGACTTTACCTGCCCACGGACAGCACAGCTCTTCGGTTTGCGCACGCAGTTTGAAGTCGTTCTTGACAAGCTGGGGGTTTGTTCGGACCTTCTACTGGACAAAAGACAGATGGACAGCCCCCGAGAGGGTTGCCGTGTTCAGCTGAAAAGTCGGCAGACAAGCATGAATGAGGGCACTAGCTTTTGCTGTGCCAGCCATGGACCGACGCGGTCCTGCCTGAGAAGGGACAACGCGCCCAAAGGCCGCTGTGTCTCATTCGAACCTTGTACAGTTTTTGTCGAGAGGGCTACCAGTGTACATAGTTTTCTGGAGACACCTACCCCAGCTGTACCCGGCGTGCTCTCGGGGCCAGTGCAACCTGTTATTGGCACTGCCTGTCGCTCTCCAGATGCAGCAGCACCCTGCCAGCCCACTGCAAACCTTGCCAGGTCTAAGGTCGGTACCTGTCGAACCTTACCTGGACCTCGCCCAGCCGGGGACCACCTGCCTGCTTCCATTCCAAGGCGTGTGCCGCCACTGTGGGCGCGCACCGCCTGCTCAACATTGCCCGATGCTGACTCCATGCCAGCGCCCGTCAATACTGGCAATCAGGCCTCCGAGACTCCTCCGCTTGCACAGCTCGGCCCCAGCCAGTTCTCTGAAATTCGCCTCCGCATCACGGCAAGCATTGACCTGTACCCGGCCGACATGGACCGGCCAGAGATACGCCAACAACAACTGTCCAGCCATGACTGGCTGACAGGTTGGCGAATTCGAGGTGGCGTGGGATCTGAAGCACAGCAGGATCGCTATGCCTTATATTCCACCGATCACCACCTTCAGCTGCGGACAATGAAACGTGGTTGGAGCATCAACGAGCTTGTGGCGGATGTTGCAGGGGTGATCCCTAGACTCAGATCGGTCCGACTTTTGGTGGATCGACTTGATGGGCTGCCAGCCATTCAGATCGCAGCCACGACGCGAGAGGTACCAGCAACCCACCATGCTGTCCCCCTAGACCTAAGGGGTGTACGGGGACGCGTGTGCACCATCAATTCATCAATATGGAACCTGGACTCAGCGTCGACACCATTGTGCGACGCGTCTTTGATGAGTGCCCTCCCTCGCACGTGCCGCAGCAGGATTTCCAGCTCGTTTTGCCTGACAATACCCCCCTGCGTGCTCTCCCGGGACATGAGGCCTGGCCTGACTTTTTGCGCGGCCAACCGGGTATGCCCCCACTCTGGCCCCTGCCCCAGGAGGTCGAGGAGGAAGGTGACCAGGTCCACCTTATGCAACACAGCCCGCACAACAGCGAGTCACTACCCTTGAGCCGGCCAACCGAGCATACCTCAAAAGCCGCGCCTGTTTGTCAGGGCCCAGTGCTCCACCCGCAGTGCTGCCAGGGCTACCGCAAGGCTGTGAAAGACATTGAGTCCTTGCGACCCGCTGTCCAGTACACAATCGTGCCACCCAATGTCATTCTGGCCCAGCCTGCCTTGACCCCTAACGTTGCAGTTGGAGGTGCAAGCGCGGACCACACGGAGCATTCAAGGTTTTACACGATCTTCGAACCGCGCATCGATTTGCGTCAAAGACCCGCTGATCCGTCATGGCAGCTTGCTGACTATGTCGCGGACGCGGTCCGCCAGCTGCCTGTGCCTGTTCGCATGGTGTTCATCCTTTCCATGCCGCTACCATCCTTTGCCACGCCGCAGCTTGTGCTGACCTTACACTCTGCCCTGCCGCGCGCCAGATCATTGCCTGTGGATTTACGCAGTGTCGGTGGCATGGTTCATACCATTGAACTTCTGCCACAGTGCAGCCCTACAGACGTTTGGGCCGCCCTCAGGGACAAAGGCATTGACCTGTCTAGGCAATGGGAGGCGGCACATGAGGCTGGACATGTCCGTTTCCTTAACCAGCTAGGACACGAGGTTGTGGAGTGGGGTGCTGATGATGATAGGCTTGAGTGGGCTGAGCTGACTGCCACGACTGCTGAATGGCAGGAAAGCATCATCACATATGGCAGCACAGAGGCACAGGCACTGATGGACAGGTTCACCAGCACAAGAACTACGACCGCCATGGGCCCTAGCCACGAGGTTGAACCTCGGGACCCCCCGACATTGCTGCGGGCCCTTGCGCCTGTTGATGCTTGCTCAAGCCATTCCCTGGCTGGCATCCAGGTCTTACCTGCTCATCTAGCCAGCCAGAGCTTGTCTACCATTTCGGCAGCAGACCTTTGCCTTTACGCTCCTGCGGCACCCGCTGATGATGGTACCAGACCCTTCACGGTCTTTGTTCTGGGAAATTCCCCAATTATTCGGACAGCCGATCCACAATGGCTCATGTGCAGATTTCTGACCGAGGCCATGTCGATCTCCGACCAGGCTGTCCGTCAGGTTCAGTTTCTTCCCCTGTCGATGCCGGACTTGCCCACTCCACAGTTCGTCATCACTCCGACTGCCAGCCTTCCTGGCACAATCATTTTGCCAATCGACGCCAGAGAACTGGGAGGCTCGATTTGCACTGTTGCTGTTAGCGAGGGTGAGCCCGGTCACAGCATCATGTCATCCGTTGCCACTGCTCAGCCAAACATCCTTCAGGCGATCCAAGCTTTGCTTGCTTTTGACGCTGTATTCCTGCAGGATGCTGCCGGTCAGGTATGGGATAGTGGCCCCCCGGAGAGTGCGGCTTCCAGCTGGCTGGCCCTCCGCTGTGACCAGGCTAGGCTGCAACAGGCGCCACCTTCCTTGAGGCGCATGATTGCTCCCGCGACAACAAGCACTACGACGGCTGCCTACGCTGCGCATGGCCCTGAGCCCATTCTCACTGTCGTCTTGGCGGGGGGAGGCCTGCTCCTGCGTTCGGTGCCCCTTCCACTGTCCCAGGTACAGGTGGCTTCCGTCGTAACCGATTTGGTAATATTGCCCTTGCTGTCAATGGTCGCCTGCCACAGGAACCTGTGATCTCTGTTGCGGCGTCAATGCCCAGGTCTGCTGCGAGTTCTCACCACCACATGATCGGTTTTATCGTGACTGAGATGGAGGACGCAGACCGCGAGGTGGTCATTTTACAAGACCCTTCGATGGATGGGTCATTGTTGTCAGCGGTGGCAATAGACAGAGGGACGTTCATCGAATCCATGGTTGCTCCCGCGCAAGCAAGAAGGGGCTTCGCAGCTGCACTCAATGGAGCTCCCCAAGATGGGGCTAGAAGGCACCTGATAACTGGAGACTTCATCCAGATATATCAGAGGCCGTTGGCAGCCCGCACATGGCCAGTGGCACACATGTACTCCATACTCCCCGCCCTGCGTCTTTTCGCGTTGCCAATCAGACTGCCAGGGGCACGGAGCTTCCTTGGACGCTTGCCTGCAAACGCTGACCGAGGCCAGGCACGGCGGGACCTCCTTCAAGTGATAGAGCTCCGAATGCTCGAACAAGCAATGGATCTAGGAGAGCCAGGGCCAGGTGGGTACCCAGTGGTCGTCATGGGACCCGCACATGTCCCCATGATGGTGTACGTTCCAGAAGCGAGCCCAAGCCACGAGGCTACCATGAGGTTCCTGACTTACTCGGGCCTCTTCACGCCAGGTACGACGTATGCTGCCACGACTGCCCTATCAGGCACGATGCCGATTGTGGTTAGCATTCCGCCTCAGGATCACCTGCTCACTGCCCTGTATCCGACCCCGGATACGACAACTACTTGGCTACAGCTATCGATTAGCTCCGAAGTCTCTTTGCACAGCTTGGGCCTGCCAGTCCGGAGAGGCATGGAATTGGTGTACCCTCCGAGACTGACGCATGCCACCGTCCTGCATGAAAGAGTTGCAAGAAGTGGTAGCAGGCCTCCGACAAGAGATCCAGCTGACATGTCGTTGATACAGACCCGTGTGCAACTCTCCAGCGCGCCGCGCCACACTGATACCGCTACTGCAACGGCATCCGGAGTGGCCCAACAGATCCCCACCCCTCTGGGTCGCCGTCTCATTCGGCCCCTCCCGCCTACAGAGCCAAAAGATAAAGATGGCCAGGATCGAGACTCAGGCGTGGTGCAGCAAATTGAGCTGTCTTCGCTTATTCCCGTTCCCCCTCCAGCCATCACCTGGGAGGTTAATCCGGAGATCTGTGATTTCTGTTTGGCCGCACACAGCCTCAGCTCCATGGAAGGTTGCCCGAGCAGGTACGGGAAGATTCCTACCAGGGTGCTCAGCCTATGGAATAAGATTCCACTTTGGCACCCTGGTCGGCCTTGCGATGAGCTCTTTCTTTTCACAGATGGTTCCTATACGGCTGCTAACCGGAAACCGACCTGGGCGGTTGTGCTCGTAGCTAGGCAGGGGCAGCGACTCGGCCGAATTGGGGTCGTGGCTGGTGCTGCTCAGGGGCCCCAACAAAGCCACCCACACCTGCAGCGGG